TGTATGTGTAGATATATGGATGTAAAGGAGACGAGAGAGGTGTATCAGGATCGTGCGTCTGTAGTCTCGGCTTACCCCTCTGGGTGACAGGCGTGAGTGTTTATGTACATGTATATAATTTTAAGAGCTGATTTACCCCGTGCTCGGCGATGAAGGAAAACATCGTAAGTAAACCTGAATGTCTGAGAAATAAGAGAAAAAATATTTTAAAGACATGTAAAGTTTGCCAACACACAAAGCGGTAGCGCGGCGGACATTTCCTCGCCCTAAAACCCTCTCATAAATGAGAGGCCTGTGCCCAGCAGAGGGACGTGTATATAGGCTGTAACTTTAATTGGTTATTTTATTTAGAGCTTGTACGACTAGCAATGAAAAATATTCTTCTTTTCGTTTTATAAGCCCGTGACAGAACATAGACATCTTCTATAATACGAAGCACTCTTCCCTTGGATGCAGTCTTCGAAAGCTTTCAAAAAATAAAATAGTCATAGAAATGTAAGCAAAAAAGAAACAAGCTGCTTACTCATTTTATTAAATATTAAATAAAATTTTCTCAAGCTTATTGCAACACTATTCAATTTCTATTTATCGAAATGTTTAATACTTAATATGAAACTTAACAGCTTAAAACCTAGAACAACTGTCCTTTTGTCTTTAGACCAGAATCCTAACCATTTTTGGGAAAGCAAACTTACTTAGTTTTTAACGCAATATTATCCTTTATCGTGTTTTACAATTTACTCAATAGGTATCTAATACCAAATAGGATTGCTCGCTAACACAAAATATACCAGCAATCCCCAAACATTACCTCTGAGTTTCCAATATTCATCAAACAAAATATCAATTGTAGTATATTGGTGTTGTAGGAGCATCCATCACCCCATTTCGTGCCGCGGATGTCGTAAGTGCGACTATGGGAAGTGCTAAAAATCTATAATTAATTCTGATAGATTGAAGTACACCCATTTCGCTTAGGCTAGAAGTAAAATGTCCTGTGCACTCCTCGACATTTTATGATAAATCTTTTGCTGTTCTTGGAGTAAGACTCTGGACTCTGGAACTCCTTACCACAGTCAATCGTGCGCACGATCGTTAAATGTGTTCAAATCGTTAAATGTGTTCAAGAAACAGATTAAGGAACGCTTTTTGTCTCTTTAACTCCTCTCTCTTCCTATTTTTATTTATGGACATTGATCTACTTAAAGTATGTTGTCATTTAGTACATAAGTTAGTACTTTTTTATTTTTTTTTTCTAATTTAGTGCACCATACCCGTTAATCTTTTTCTCATTTTTATTAGTTTCTGCTTCTGGGTTGTCTGGAAGAGATTGCTATGTAGCAATAAGACGCCTTTTGTTTTACCCTCATTGTTTGTTTATTTTTTGTTATTTTTATCATTTATTGGTGTACAATAAAGAGTATTGTATTGTATTGTATTATATTGTATTGTAAAATATCCAGACTGAATAAAGGCGTTAAAAGTGTTAGACGTCTAGTACTACGGTCCTCAATCGGCCTGACAAGCAAGACGGTTTACGCCTGGTTTCTATAATTATGAAAAGTTTCGTTTTCTCTTACGAGCCGTTCTGCAGTGCGGAAAGTGTACGAAAAAACCCCATTTATAAACGAAAATACTGATTACCAACGTTAACAAGAGTTGTTTCATTTTAGCCATCTTTATTGATAAAGTGCATGCTTTTTAAGAAAAGTTTCTATACGTTTTTCAGATGTAATAAAACGTTTTTCTATTTTCAAGACAAATCTTTGGACGTGTAGTTGCGGAATGCGGACACAGCGGAGATGGGCCATAGCGTCTTCCTAATGACGACTAAAAATAAGAACTGCGGTTGCCAACCGAATTGGCAAGCGTGGCAACTATGGCAAATATATTAAATATATTATATTAATTATATTCAACGGGAGAAGTCCATGCTCAGTAGTGAGCATTACGGGCTGATGACGAAGAAAAATAAGAAACCATCAACTTAACACTATAAGTGATTAAAAAAATAACTGTCAAATCATCTTTACTTTTAGTACATAAATACGAACGAGTAATACAAGTATTTGAAGCCAAATTACCTGACACCGATGAAATTTAAACTCTGCCTCAGTGACGTCTCCCTAATAAAGCAATTAACGATAACCAAACCTGTTTTATTTTCGAATTAAAAGACAAACTGTAACATATCAATGCCTTAGTAATGTGACAAGAAAGAGTACTATGAAATTATGTACTAAGCAAAGTTAATTTTATGAGTAATTTGAAGGTCAATGCTAATTTTATAGCCAGCTGCATACGTTAAAATTTTATTAATTCGTTAAAATTTTATTTAATAGTGATAATGGAATTTGAGACTTTTTTATATAAGGGTGACTAACGAGCACACAGTCCATAATGGTAAGTGGATGCTGTGACCTATAGACTTCTACATCTATCCTCGATTAAGTATCAAAATGCAGATGCGTTGCTACCCCTGAGGACTAAGATGGAATGCCTCGTTTCCAGTAAAAAGGGTCTGCGGTTCTCTACACTCACTATAAGAACTACAGCAGCATCGAACTGCTATTTTCTGTGGTCTCTCCATAATAATTGGTGAGTGTTATAGGAGGCGAGTATGAGGTATTCCCAAACACTCTCACATAAGCTCTCACGCCTGTAAGCCAGAGGTAGGCAGAGTATACGGACTTTCATTTGGCACGATCTTGACCCGCGTCTCTCGTATTTTATCAATGCGTACATATTTGTCGGTTTAGGGTACTCCTAATTTGGCCCATCTTCATTTAATTGCCAATGGGGCACAGCATAAATTTGCTTTATCACTATAAATTTGCTTTGTCAGTCTTTCATCATTCATTTTTTCTACATATACAAACCTCCGAAGCATTCATTATTCAATTGTAGTCACATCATGTATTTACAAACCACACTTTTCTCTTATCACACAATTTTTCTCTCAGTCACGTAGAGTTACAATCTAACATACAGTCTTAACTGTATTCCTACAGCATTATTCCTACTCTCATGCTCTCTTACAGCATTTTCCAAATCGTGATTCAATTCACAAATTCAGAAAATCAAAACACACAACTGGCATATAATCTGGGGGCATGGCAGTGCCCCCGTCAAGTCGAACAAAAAAGCGGCACGGCCGTACCATAGTTTTCTCGAAGCAATTCAGGCAATATTCGACCTCCTATAACTTCGTAGTGGATAAAGCTAAAAGCCTGAATTTTCAGTAACCAAGTAGGTGTTGTATAAACATGGTATTTTTATAAATTTCATTCAATTTGAACCAGTAGTTTAAGAATTATAACTAGGCAAAGTTTCTTAATTTAGTCACTCACTGACTGACCGGCAATCGCACTAAGCAATCTTATTTAATATAATATGTATTACTTGTGAGATACATTGTGTTTTCATGCGATGGCCAAGTCAATCTATATATTTAAAACATAAAAGATTTTTAACATTGATATGGTCGCTATAAAATGTTATTAGGTTAGCTAATTACGTAATAATTTGAAATAGAAGGACCCTTAAGCAGGGACTGAATAAATTAATCGACTTGGTATTACATGGATCTCACAACTTTTTACGGTAGAAGAACTGAGTTGCTGAGAGACTTTTTTTTTACAAGTTATGTTTTTGATGGCATGCATTTTTCGGTATTAAGTTCACCTTTGTGCCAAATCATTTTGATTGCAATAAAGAATTTTGTATTTATCTATCTATAAATTATTATTGTACTTTGCACTTGCACTATTTCTCCTAATTGTTATTGTTTTCATTTCTTTTATTGAGAGACTATTAAAAAGTATTATTGATTTCTTATATTTATACGAACACTACACTTTATATGAAAATAATTTTACGGATTTCATCGCGTTTAATATTCAAAAACTGAAGGTAGGAATAGCTATGACATCGGGACGTCAAACACCTCAGTACCCCCGTGATCATGGGTGCTGTAAAACACCCGAATCGTCCAAAATTATAAAGTTAAAATTAAAACCGATAAAATCCGTAAAATTAGTTTCATCTAAGTAAATAAATATTTGCATAATAATCAATTATTATTATCATCTAAGTAAATAAATATTTGCATAATAATGAATTATTATTATCATCTAATATGACACTCAAGTGTTCTCAAGCCAAAAAGCACGCTTCGTGGTGCAGTTCGGCAGATATATAAACGACATTATAATGTATGATTTGAATCGTAATTATTCGATTACCTCACAAGTGGGCCACAATCGACCCGAGTAGCAAGAATTGGTCGATCGATACAGTTCTAGTCTAGTTGGTAACACGCTCTCACCTATTTATATAACCAAGCAGATGTGCACCCACTGTTGCATTCCGGCTTTGAAGTTTATACAAGCTAGTATACAGGCTTTGAGGAATTCCACTGCACATAGACTGCGGTGATCACTTACCATTAGGGTGAACATTTAATGTCTTCCAGACCGAATTTCGGCCACGGCGGCCTGCCTCAACGGAGACTAGCCATCGGCGCAGGACAGGATTATAGTGCCCAAGTGTATGCGCAAGCACAGGTGCACTCTCTATTCTCTTACTCTCATAATCCGATGGGACGGTAAACCGACACGACCGGAGAGAGATCAGGCGCAGGACCAACGGCTTTACGTGCTTTCCGAGGCACGGGGGTGAGACACCGCCAACTTCCTGACTCCGGGCAACTACTGAGAATTTCTTGACGGAAAAATTCGATAATAAATTTTTTGGCCCGACCCGGGATCGAACTCAGGACCTCATGATCAGCAATCGCACTACTACAACCACTAGACCAACGAGGCAGTCAGGTGAAGGTCAAGGTGGTGTTTATGATCACAATAATAATAATAACAATGCATGTTTCTATCGTAGATTAAACTTACAAAGAATACGCAGTCATTCTTTCATTGATTACATTGGCAATTGGGGTAAGTGTCTGATGAACTGGGGGAAATAGCGAGAGAAGTGCTACTTACATTCAAGTCCCATGCGGTTGGTGAGTTGCTCGAAACCATAAACGGTCCCATCAGGCCGCCGACAGGATTGCAGTAAGTTTAAGAAGTCGTCACAGATGCTGTTCAGTTCCGGCAGAAAGCCCTGCATTGTGTGAGGGCTGGTAAGCTCGGATGTTAGGTGGCGACGCAGATGGAACCATTTCTCACCTTGTCTGTAAACAAGGACAGATTAAGCAAATACCCTAATAAATAAAGTAGAATGTTATTAAATTGAATTAAACTAGATTGGATTAATATGCACTCATAAATTATGGAAGGGACAAGATTCCTAGTACAAGAGCTAGGGTTTAATTGGAAGCTGTGTATAATTTCTATTTGAGTCTAATAACTAATAAAGTATTATTATTGTTATTATACTCGACTTAAAATCTAACTACCTCATTATTTTAACAGTCGGCTTTATTTTATTTTCACAATTAAGTTATAAAAACTTCAATTATAATTATATGTATAACTAACTACATTAACAAATACTAAAATTCCAAGATACTACGTCCATCTGTTTTTTAAATGTAAATACATTTCTACGAATAATTGAGGCGGATTGAAAGTTTGTTTGTTACTTAAGTTTTATAAAAAAAAAAATAATAGAAGAATATGTTTTTGCGATCCATCGATTTAGGAAGCGGTGTTGGTTGATGTGCATCCGCATATTAAATTAGCTAGTTTTATTGTATGTCGTTATAGTCAGAGTTCCACCGCGTGGTTTCGCCCATGTATATTTTAAAGTAAAAACATTTTTTTAAAGCGAGTTATATATATATATATATATATATATATATATATATATATATATATATATATATATATATATATATATATATATATATATTGAGAGGCAACCAGACAAGAATATATTTCTGCATTAACACTCGCTTTAAAAAAAAATGTGTTTAAAAAATGGTATATATATATATTACATCCCACCGGCACAATTAGCGGAACAGAAAAAAAAGTGAGACTATGAGATAATAACTAATAATTTGACGAAAATGTAATTAGACACAAAATAACAAATTGATTAACATCTTTTGACAACGACTTTGAAAAGTCTTCGTTATTTTTTATTGAAGAATAAAGAAATTTGAAATAAGTGAAATTTTTAAATGATTAGGAACCATCACAAAAAATAAAAAAAGTAAGCATTAAATGACTTAACAATAAAATTAAAGCAAAATTAATAACGAGTGTTCCCCCTCTTGCTCTGATTACGGTTTCCATTCGTCTGGGCATGCTACAGATTATGTTATCGATGATTTCTTGAGGCAACCGCTCCCACTCCTCAAGAATCGAGTTCATTCAGATTGTTGGGGGGTGGCATTCTGGATTTAACCCTTCTTTTTAGCAAGTCCCAGACATGCTCTATCGGATTCATATCGGGGGAATTTGCTGGCCACTGCATCACCGGTATACCTACGTGGCTCAGATATGCCTGTACCGATTGTGCACTATGAGCACGAGCATTATCTTGCATTAGAATAAAGTCGTCACCAATAAATGGGGCAAATGGTACATGTTCTTCTAAAATGTCTCTGATGTATCGATCTGCTGTCATGGTCCCTCCTGTGACTATCACTAACTCCGTGCGAGCTCCCAAACATATCCCTCCCCAAACCATAATCGAGCCGCCACCACAAGCCACTGTGTGTTCAATATTAGACTGTATGTGGCGTTCTCCTTTGCGTCTCCATATTCGCTGTCTCCCATCGATCTGTTTTAAAAGAACTCTGCACTCAGTAAAGAGAACCTGCTGCCATTCGTTCAAATCCCAATGACGATGTTCTCGCGCATAGCTTAATCGGTTTACGCGGTGACGTCTCTCAAATTTTGGGCCTTTGGCAGGTATATACGACCCTAAACCAACTTCTTCAAATCTCCTGCGAAATGTTCTCTCACTTACTCGCACTCCTTGAACGTCTTCCAGTTCATTTCGAGCTTGTACAGCCGTTAATCGCGTATTCCTACGAACTCCAAGTTGTAAAACACTGTCATCTCGCCTCGATGTACATCTTTTTCTACCTTGACCCCTCCTCCTCACAAGAGAATTAGACGATCTGTACCGCTGGATGCTGCGATGAATCGTTGATACTGGTCGACGAAGCCTTGTGGCAATCGATCTGTAGGTATGGCCATTTCTTCTCAATAACAAATTTATAAAAAACCATTAAGTGCAATTTTTCAAAAAAATTACAATTACGTAGTTATTACTCGAACAAGTTGAAAAAAGGGAAAATTAAACCAATGAATGAAAAAGTGTATGTCATCTAATTTTCTATTTTCAAATTTGACAATAAATTAAAAAAATATCATAACTGGCCAGTTCCTCAAGTAAAAGATTTTCCTGCTTTTTTGTGTTCCGCTAATTGTGCCGGTGTATATATATATATAAAATACGACTGACTGACTGACTAACTCATCACGATATCTCTATACACCCGATTGACTTGAAATTTAGTATAGTTACTCGTTTTGCAATGTAGACGCTCACTAAGATCGATTTTTACGATAGCCCCATAAAAAAATACAGTTGACACTACAGGCCATCCCTGCAACTACCCGCTAATTTCAAATTAAAAGCGCTTCAAATTTCAACTTTTTAAGTTCATCGAGCTTTTTCGAGTTTTTATTTTTATTTTGATTTGGTTTGTGGCAATTGACACAGTTTTTTGAGCTTAACAAAATCATTTATCACCAAAAATTGGTTTGGCTAAATTTTACAAAAAACACTTTTTAGAAATTTCTTTCGGCAATCTGTCGAACGAATCAACCGATTTTGATGCGGATGTGTAGGGTTGCCAGGTCTTTAAACCTAAAAGTCGGACAGACCAGCGAGCTTATCCGGACATTTTGGTAAAAAGGCCGGACACCCTTAATTTTTTAGTCTTAGTAAAACGACATTTTTTAAAGTAAAATAATGCTTTTTATCTTTTACCATAAAATCCTAAATTGTAATGAAATATTATATTCTTTAATTAATATATAATATTCTTTAATAATATTAATTTCAATAATTGCCATAGTATGTATGTAAGTACATGAAAAATGTAAATAAATGGTCAAATTTAAAAAGCCTAACAAAAGCCGGACTGGCCAGACACCTTCAAATTTGGCCAGACACGCAACCAAAAAGCCTGACTGTGTCCGGCTTTATCCGGACGCCTGGCAATGCGATTCATGGCAATTGATGTTTTTGAATAGGAGAGCTGATTTGATTATAGAATTGATCAAAACAAAGGTGTCGAAGTAATTCCAAGAAAATTACCTTTTGAAAATTAAAAATACTCGAAGTTTTGAGGTTTTCTCAGAATCCACGGTGCCGATTCGGTTTAAAATCACAGGAAATCTAAGTTCAGCGTGGCCCTGTCACCTTTCAGATTCCGAACAGCTTTTCGATTGGACACTCCTTTACAAAGTTATGAGATGCTTATATGTTTACTCAGACACACACACACGCGCGCGCACACAACACACTCACACATACATACAGACATACGGACATGATCGCAAAAATAGCCAGAATAGCTTCCTAGGACCTCGAAACGTCGAGATCTGACGATTTTAAAGAAGCGGGGTAAAAACTTCCCGACCTTTGAAAATATTGATTTTCATAGCTGGAACAGTCAAATATTCTTTATATTTTATATATATGTTATTAACGTCTTTCATCGTGCGGATAGCGAAGCAAGCGGGTATCAGTTAGTAAAATATACCCGCAAGTATTTTTATTAAAATTTTGTTCATAATTTTTTTTGTAAAAAAATACGTGTAGCACTCGGGGACTGCCGCGGTAAAGCTATTGCATAGCATTTTTATCAACTTATGCAATTATAATTATTTATTTATTTTATTTATGCGGTATTTTTTCTTTGTTTTTTTTTTTCTTTAATATTTATTCAAGTTTTTTCTTTGATATTAATTCAAGTTACACTTCTTGAGCTTTTGCAGCTTCTTTTATTGAATAAATGTGAAGTTAATACTGTTTGAAATATTTTTATTATCTTACAATAGATGTAGGTTATTCAGGAATTTTTATCATTGAAACTATAGGTTTGTGGTAATTAACGAGTTCTTCCGACAAACGATAATTTTCTATAAAGTCTGTGTTTATTAAATACTCTAAATACACGAAAGTTGCTAGCATGACGACGACTCATATTAAATCCAAAGAATATGCTTCTTGCAATAAACTATATTATTGTTAAAAATATTTTTATTATCTTACAATACATGCAACTACATAGTCTACACGCATACGTCTAGTAGCACGCTCACAAACACCGTGCCGAAGTCTGCCAAACTTAAACGACGTTAGACGATGTTAGGTTTTCGGGTCTTAGGTTTTTTCGTTACGGAATTTCTTGGTTCGGTCGCCACGCTCAAAGCCTGCGATAAAAGCTATGCAATAGCTTAAAATCAATAAGTAGTATCAAAGAAAACTAAATAACACCATAGGTATATTAGTCATCCCACCTCGGAAAGGCGGGACCCATTCGTGAGGGTCAATTTGTAACCCTACCTTATCACCTCAGGCCAGCCTTGATACTTAGGCTATTCCGTTAGCTCTATAATACCGCACACGACGTTTCTACTTACATACGACCCAGAAATGCTTATTTAACAGTTAATTCGATCCCATGTGCGTGATTATTATCGACACGCTTAAAATGCTATTGCGAAAATGGCTATTTTAAACATAAATACAAATTACACAATGTTATCGCACGAACAAGTTAGGCTTTGTTATGGTTATTTTATTGTTCACGATTTGGTAATATAGACGACGCAGGAAGTTATCTAGTTAGGCATTCGGGACGTTAAAAATAATATCTGTTAACGCCGTGTTGTGACTTGTGACACGCTAAAGGTAGGGTTCCCTAAGCAGATATTTCTAGCTAAATATCAAATTTTTCGAATTTTTTCAGTAATTGTTATTTTTAAAAATATTACTATAATTTTAATTGTTATATTTAAATAATCTAAATAATTTTAATGCTAAGATTAATTACATCAAGTGGTTTATGAAAACTATTGAAAAATAATCAAAGGATATTCCACTCGATCCTGAGTTCAAATGTAAATTAGACGTGGGACGAGTACTTGGTTTGGATTCGGTACTCGGCGGATTCGGCTTTTTTTTAGGGTTCGGCCGAAC